AATAGTACTTTATAAGCGATGGCAAGGAGACTAATTCCTCTATAGTTGGCACAAATCGTCATGTCTCCTTTTTTGTGCACGAAACATAGAATGGTGATGATCCAATCATAGGGCATACATTCCTCTAGCCAAATGGTCATGAATCAGCTGGTGCATGCTCCTGATCAGCGTCTGACCACCGGCCTTGAATAGCTCGGCTGGCACCTGCAGCTTTATTATTCTTCAGTGGATTGATTGCTATTCTGCCCTCATATTGGCTAGGTGGTATACACTCTATACCGTTCGTCTCTCTTGTGAAATGTTCTCTTATCTCTCATCTTCTTCACCGCCACTATTTGATACCAGAAGCTTTGTAAAATGCTCCTTCCAGATCCTCGCTGTATATATCTGTTACCAGGTTTCCTTCTTCATCTCTACAGGAGGATGTGCCTGCACCGAAGCCTTCGGTTCCTTCTGACTCCTGTACATCTCGATTTTCTCACGTCCACGATTTTCTTGCTCAGTACTATGTTTTCAATTATATTTGTAATTTTACGAATAGAACAACAATGTACAACAACTTCATGTATTTGTTTGCGATAAATTAGTTAAAAAATAAAAACAAATTATCCGCACAACGCAATTACAAGAGTCAAACAGCAGCGGCATGTTTATTTTTGTTTTAACTATCGCTGGGGAAAATTCATATTATTTATTTATTTTTTTTTTTGTCATTAAAGCGACACAAAGCCATTTTAAAAAACAACAACGAAAAAAAATCCCTCATGGACCAATTATTTGTTATTATTTCGAATAAAACATATAAACAATTTTAATGCGAACTTGAAAGTTTTATTATTTTCTAAACAAAGATTAAAATTTTGCAGTCTCTATTGTTGTTGTTTTTTTTATAGTTTTTCTCTTCTATTGCGTTTAAAGAATGTGCACTTTTGATATTTTTTATTACTCACACCATTTGGTGATTAAACACCACAATATAATAAGATGATTATTTCAATATGATTTATATATTTTATTTTTTATTTCAATTTTTTCTATTTGTGCCTCCAATGTTAGCCGGCGACCATAAAACAATAAACTTGATCGGATTACTAATCGCGGCGCACTGTTGCACTTTGGAGACATCACAATTAACCCACAGAACTGCAGGCGGCAAGGCTGTCTAACAGATGGATGGCCGTCAGAATTATTATTATTTATTTTTTTTTTTTTTTTGTAATTAGATTTGAATGTATGGAGATCTTTGGACTTATAATGAGAACTTCTGTAGATGTTGTATGTGGAATATTAAGAAGATCGATTAAAGAGGCATGCTCATAGTTGATGAAGGAATTTGGCATAAGTACCAAAGGAAGAAGACAGCCACGACATAAAACGACAATAGGAAATTCCCCGGGGTCTGATCGACGGAGTCGATAAAAATTTTATTTCAATTAGCAAAGTTGTTACAGGTATATTTTCAATTCCAAACCCTTACAAATAAACACCGATGGTTTTGTTATCATTAAAGGATAAAAAAATTACGATAAGTAGGGTCTGAGAAATGAAATCATCGTTCGAATATAGCAAGAAGAAGACCTGAGATGCAAGTGTCGAGGTACATTAATTACGTTAAATGCGAAACGTGTAGTGTCATGCCTTGAGCCAAAATCAAAGATAGAAGTTAGGTATTGCTTTAAAAGGTTCTGTAGGAAGAAGGCTCTGACTTGGCTTTAACATGGCAAAACCCAAGCTTATTTTTGTACCCCTCGCCGCGGTGTCATCTAGGGTAGCTACTTTCGTCACCTGTTGAAATATGGGAGCTGATGTGCCGCGAGTTCCCCATAAGAACTATAAAAAATGGTTTGAGGCCTACACTCCTACTATGAAAAAGCAACGTGAAAGAAAACCAAACCCGCCTAATGTTGACAACCCCTGCAAACGTATAAATGACCACCGCACTTTGTACAAAACAGGGGCCGATTTCGCATTGGCGGATGTACTCAAAAAGTACAAAACCGATTTTATTGCCTTGCAGGAAATGCGACGGGAAGGGACAGGTGTAAGTAAATCAGACGATTACGCACTGTACTGTATAGCTGCCATGAAACATGAATTTTTCTGCGGATTTATGGAAAGCAGGAAAATAAAAGACCTCGTCTCCAGATTCACTCTTCCAGTAGATGAGCGAATTGCTAAAATCCGTCCAAAAACGAAGTTCTTCTACATCAGTGTTATTTGTGTCCATTCTCCGACAGAAGACAAAGATGAGCAGACCAAAGACATATTTTACGAGCGTCTAGAAACAGCATATGACCGCTGCCCTGGCCATGACATAAAAATTCTGTTAGAAGATTTTAATGCAAAATCGGAAGTAAAAATATTTTTAAGAAAATTCAGCTTCCATGTAGAAACATTAGACAACGGCATGAGGTTGATTGACTCCGCTGAAGAAAAGAAACATGGTTGTTAGCTGTACCAGCTTCAAGCATCTCAATATACACAAGGCCACCCGGATTTCTCTCGATCAAGCAGAGAGACATTATGTTGCGATATTTGAAGGAATTCATCCAATGTTTTAGACGTTCGATCGATCAGAGAAGCGAATATCGATTCGAAGATTTATCATAGGTTCGAACTCATCTTAATGTAGCAGCAAAGGTGCGATCTAATGTAACACGGAAACTCGACTTCGAGAAGCTACACACACAACAGATAGCTGAAAACCTACTCCGCTCAACTAACAGACCTGTTTGACGAAAGCGCTCCTTGTTCCGATAATAATATAGAAATACAATGGCAAAGAATTGCCCACTCCTTACAAACTACGGCAAAAGCAACACTTGGGTACCAAAAACCAACATCGAGAAACCTGTGATACGTTCAGGACTGTCTTCTTCCGATATATGTTGCCATATATGAATTCCACCATAATTGATCAGGAGTGTCGTAATACTACTGAGGCGAGGAATGAATCGTATAGGGCAACACTGCAGACAGTAGTAACACGCAATGCGAGAGGGAATTATCGGATGAAAATTAGAGAGGAGAAACGTATCTTCAGAAAAAGAAGAAAAACGTGAGCGGGAGCAAATCAAGGTGGACAGGAGTCAGAACGAAGTCCAAAAATTTTACCAACGAGTAAAACAGCAAACCGAAGTAAAACACCAAACAGCCTCCTGTAGAGATGAAGAAGGAAACCTGATGACAGATGCAGACAGCGTGTTGAGTCTCTGGAAGAAGCATTTTGCAAAGCTTCTGGTATTAAGTAGTAACGGTGAAGAAGATACCCCCGAATCAATAAAATATGACGATATAGATTGTATACCACCTAGCCACGATGAGGTCAGAATAACAATTAATCGGCTGAAGAATAACAAAGCAGCAGGAGCCGATGGCCTACTAGCAGAATTACTCAAGATCTGTGGTTAGATGCTGATCGAGAGCATGCACCAGCTGATTTGTACAACTTGGCTACAGGAATAGGAAGTAATAGGAACCCCAGCATCGCGTGCACAAAAAAGGAGACAAGTCGATATGTACCAACTATAGAGGAATTAGTCTCCTTCCCATCGCATATAAAGTGCTATTCAGCGTGTAGAGTGAACGACTGAAGCCAAGGATCAATGGCATTATTGGACCAGATTTTCACTCTTCGCTAAATACTGGAAAAGAACCACGAAAAACACATCGACACATTCCACCTATTCGTCGAATATAAAGCCGCATTTGACTGTCTAATCCTTTCACAGGTCTGCGTTCGTCATTCCTGCAAAATGTATACGGCTATGCAGGATAACTTTAACTGGCACAAGATTAACAGATACAGTCGTAAAAGACCTTTCGGAGCCCGAGGGAGGATTCAAATAAGGTGACCATTTGCCGTGTGGCCTTTTTAACATCTTCATGGAAAAGGTCCTACGAGAGGCAAATGTCAACAGAAATGGCACTCGGTTCACCAAACAACACATGTTAATTGCCCACGCCGACCACATCGACATAATGGGTCGAACATTGCGAGCGGTAACCGTCCAACTTTGAATAAATTGAGAAGGAGTCTGCCAAAGTGGGTCTGGCAGTAAATGGCGAGAAGAACAAGCTGATGGTATCAACACGCAAGACGTCCAGTAGACTCGGACCAACTGTGGAACTTGAAAACTACAGCTTCGAGATAGTCAAAGATTTTATATACCTTGGTACCGTTATAAATAAAATTCATGACATCAGTTTTGAAATTTGGAGAAGGTTAGTGTTGGTCAAAAGATGCTGCTATGGCCTAAGTAAGAAGATAAGAAACAAGGCCACCTCCCGCCAGACCAAACTCACATTCTACAAGACGCTCATACTACCCGTGCTGTTATATGGATCTGAAACATGGGGGCTTGCGCAATCAGATAAGACAGCTCTTGGAGTGTTTGAGAGAAAAATTCTCCGAAAGATCTACGGGCCGATCTGCGGCGACTGTGAATATCGGCGGACATTTACATAGTCAGTCGTATCAAACTGCAGCGACTACGGCGGTTAGGACATGTTGTGCGAATGCCTTTGGCTTTTGACCTGGGGCAGCCAGCGATGGTTCACGCAGAAGGAATGATCAAATGGAAGGGATCATTTTGGCACATGGTCTTTCAAATTGGAAAATATGCGTGCAAGACCGGCGCGCCTGGAAATCTTGTTTAAGCTCGACTTATGGAACAAATGTTCCGTCGCAAGCCAGCTAAGTAAGTATTAATTCAAAATGTTGTACTTAATTTTATAAATTTAAATATATTATAATTTTACTTTTCAAAGTTTCACGATTCATAGAAAAATCAACGAGATTATATAATTCATTAAAATCTTTAGACATTCTTGTTAAGGGATCAGCATTTGTATAATTCATTCTAGAAAATTGATTAGCTAGTGGTACATAATTGCGAGTAGCCATTTGGGGAATATTTAAACAGATCTTCTTTTATAGGCCTTCTATGAGGTTCCACACAAATAAAAAAATTATTTAAAAACTTCATAGTTTTACTCACCTAAATCCCGTCATAACATTCAGCAGAGTACTTTTTCCCGATCCGGAGGGTCCCATTATAGCCGTCAGTTCGCCGGAACGAAACGAACCATTAATGCCATGGAGAATTTCTTTTGAGACTATAAAATAGGGGAAGAGAAGAAAACAAAAATAATGCTATAAATAAACATAGACAGCTAAATAAGGAAAACAATAGCAAATTCAAAACAAAAAAACTACAACAAAATACAGACAGTAAAATACAAAAACAAAGTCTATAGCCAACATGACCCATAAGTCAACGAACAATTTAAAATGTCTGTGTGGCGGTAGTGGCTTCTTCGATCATCAATTCATGATGGGAACCGCACACAGCACACATATTAACCCATTGTGGCATTATTTGAAAATAAACACAATTTGTAGATATCTATACGGGGTTTGGTTGATAAGATTGTTTTACTTTTGTTTTCTACGAAACTGCAAAAACAATAATAACTTATTATTGCAACAAAAACAACAAGAGGAAAACAAAATACTCTCACTTCAGCGCCTATACGTTGAGTGCATATTTTATTGTCGATATAGTTTTGTCCCATTGCCCTAATTTCCTAGATTCGTTTTCGATTCTTATCACCGCACACACCACACGTGGCATATTGACCTTGGAAACTATTCAATTGTAAAAAGAAACGAAATCAAATCGCCTATAAGAACCGTGTAGATAATCTGAAGAAATCAAAAAAAAAAAAAATATTCTAAATTTATGTGAATGTTTAGGGCAACATAAATATGTGTGGGTTAGGTTATGTCGAATTACTTGGATTCTCATTTAAGCGGCAGATAACTAGATTACATATTAATTTTAAATTTAGATCCGCAGCCACTTCAGGGGAAATAAATACAGATCTTTGGGAGTTAGCTTTGCGGGACAAGGGAAAAGATTGGGAATGGGACTGGTGAAAGATATCCCGAATGCAATTACTCATAGCATACGCAGATGATATATTTGTCGCTGCAGCGTGAGCTCATGCAGAGAATACTAAATACATATTTGTAGCAATACTCCGAATACTTCCAAACTTGGAAAATACATCAAAAAGTCGATAAATGTAGGGCGATAACATTCAAAGGCAAGAACAAATATGTATACCGCAGCGTTAGGGCAGTATGAATCTACTCTAAATTAGAGGGCAAACAATAAGAAACTCCGAATAGTTCCAAACTTGGAAAATGCATCTAAATTTCTATAAATGTGATCCGATAATCTTCAAAGACAAGAAGAAATATTTATATTCCAGCGCCAGATAGAATGAACCTACTCTTGTTATTGGAGGTAGGGATAAGTAAATCGACTTTCGACTAATCGATTAAACGACTTTTTGAATTGAAAAGTCTAAAAGTCGAAATCGTCTTTTGATCTTTGAGAAAAGTCGATTTTTCAAGACCGACTTTCGATTTTCTTTATAAATTCATGCTTTATTATCACAAAGCCAATATTGACCAAAAATTACATATTCCAAAACTATATTTGATCTGTTGACAACAATACTTCTAAAAAATCAAATTTTAAGTCGATTTTGCTTTAGCCCGAAATAGTCGAAAATCGATTTCGAACAGATTTGACAAAATCGAAAGATCGAAAATTCGACTTTTTAGTCAAACACAAAATTCGAAAAGTCAAAAAGTCGACTTTTTGGTCAGAAGCAAAAATCGAAAAGTCTAAAAGTAGACTTTTGCGCTCGACTACGTATCCCTAATTGGAGGGCAAACAATAATAAACTCCCAACAGATTAAATATCTGGGAGTTATATTAAACTTCAAAGGCAAGAATAAATATATATATATACCGCAGTGCCAGGGCAGTATGAACCTGCACTTGCTATTGGAAGGCAAACAAGAAGAAACTCCAAATACTTCCAAACATGGGAAATGCATCTAAATATCGATAAATGTGATGTGATAACCTTCAAAGGCAGGAAGAAATATTAATACCGCAGCGCCAAGCAGTATGAACCTACTTTTGCTATTGGAGGGCAAACAATAAGAAACTCCGACCAGATTAAATATGTTTGTTTGTTTGTTTGACTACCTTCTCAGGAAAGTCAACGGCGTATATTGGAGCTACCAGCGGCGTACTATCAAAGCAACTGGTGAACTTTCCGTTAAAGGTAAGCTACTTATCTACAAGCAGGTAATAATACGTACATCGAAAGGTAAATTTGGGCCAACTATAGGCCTACGAACAGTTTAGCCACTTTGAATTAAGAAGGTCTTCTATATAGAGATGACAAGCTCCTCTTCTATCATCGTAGATTCGGGACACTTGATATAGGTAGTACGTCTATTGTACATATCAGTAGCGGGTAAAGCGTCCTAACTTGTATATATTGTAAATAAAATGTATCTGAGTTTAAGGATCACAGGGGAAGAGCAACCTCACCAGAACCCTCCGAGATGGGGGAAACTCAATCTCAAATTCCGAGTCCAAATACAAAGATAAGACTAATACAACCGTCTTGGAATGCCGGAAGAGCGAAGAAGCTGATGAAATGCTACCTACAAGGACCTCAAAACAAAATATAGCAATTATCTTGGGACCAACGACGAAAATTGGCCAGCATGAGCCGGAGAAACAAGCGCAAGAGCAAACAGATTTGAAAAAGGAGAAACCTGACCTTCGCTTCACTTCCTCGGATTCGGCAATGTGATTAGATCTCCGCAAGAGCAGCTGTACGCCAAACCCGCAAAAAAAGAGGGCTGATATATGGCGGAGATAACCTAAATGTACAGGAGACTTTCACGGGAATCTGTCGACTGAGAGAGCATCGAAGCTGGCTTTCATATCAAGATCAGAATCTAACTGAAATTTTAAATGGGGAAGAGGGTAGCAACTATAGATAAATAGTTCTGATATGCAGTGATCGGCGAGAATAATGCGTCCCGCAAAAAAGAAAGAAGAAGTGATGAATCGCGAGTATCCATCGACTGAGAGAACGGCGAAACTGGCTTTAAAAATATGGGAATTTTTAAGAAGGACTAACCGAATTTTACCAAATGGGAAGAGGGTAGCAAAAATAGATAAGAAGTTCAGCTAAGATGTGATCGACGAGAAAATAGTGCCCGGAAAATAAGGAAGGAGAAGTGATGAATCCCGAGAATCCATCGACTGAGGGAAGATGATGATTATATCTCCGGAAGAGCAGACGAACGCCAAAAAAAGGGAGGTGATATATGGCACCTGAAGTTAAAGGAGAGTGTCACGAGCATCCATCGACTGGGAGGACGGTAAAGCTGGTTATAATATCAAGAAAACGAGCACTATATTGGAGTCTTTTCTTTGGACCCATTAAGAAGTCATGGATCACGAGAACCCATCGAATGAGGGAGCGCGCAGCTGGCTCTATTATTAAGAAGAAATTAGTTGACGTACGTAAAGTTTTAATGAAATCGGCTGAGATTTAGATATAGCTTCCATATATAGTTTCGTCCGATTTTATGTATATGATGCACCAAAGACCCAAAATTTGGCTGATTGAAACAAAATTTTGCACAGTGTAGTTAATTAAGTACAGATTGATGTATGCGAAGTTTCATTAAAATCGGTACAGATTTAGATATAGTACCCATATATATTTTTGTCCGATTTGATGTAATTTCAATACTCACCAAATTTCTTTTCGGCAAATGAGAATTTCCTCACCGTATAGCGAATATTTTCAAATTCGATATCAATTTCCGGGCAGCGGGCAAATGTTGTTTCAATGTTATCGTATTTGTTGGTATGCGTCAGCAAATTGTTATTGACCTTCGTGGCATTTACGGCGGGCTTCATCAATGTCGACGATGTCGATGAACTTGCGTCAATGGAAATTTCTGAACTGGCTGCTGTGGAGCAACAATTCATTGCCAACGATGCAGTACCACAATCGCTGGGTCCGCCAATCGTTGAATTTCCCGCGCCACACCCACCTAAGGGTTTCATATCTTTGATGACCGTCATAGCGGGATGGAGTAGAAGAAATTTTGTTCACTGCAATTAGAAAAAGGGAAAGAAAACAAATCGGTTATTGTTTTGCAATTGCAAAATTATGATTTAATCGATTCGATTACAGAATGGCAAATATATTCCGATCTATGACATAAATCGCCAATCAGTTGTGCTATTGTGCAAGTTCAAGATTATCAGTAATTTCTAATGGGTATTTGTTTAAATAAAAAAATTTGTTTTTTTGCAAATCAATAAATATGTGCATGTGATCTCAGGGTTACTATAATTCCGAAAACACACACATTAGGGTGGGCTTATTATTGAAAATCTATTTTTCAAAATATAGTTACTTAGAATTTTAAAAAAAAAATAATTTCCTACCTAACCCGGATCTGAGAAGAGGTTCAACAACTTCTTAGTGTACAAAACTTTGTATTGAAGCCAACTTCATAATTTCATTCTCTTATCAGCTTCCCCCCACCAGCTATATATATATATATTTTTGCGAACGATACGCTAAAATAGCCAGACATCGACATGAAAAAGATGTCAGCACAAACTAAAGGGTCTAAGTTTTTTTTTTTTAATTTTGATAAGTCAAGGTCATGTTCGGTATATTTTTGTCTGGAGACCCAAATAAAAACTGATTAAAAATATACCAAAAAATAAATAAATAAAAATTTCAAGTGCTCAGATTCCGGTTCAAATACTTTTCCCCGTGCCTATTTTAATTTCTCCCGTCTCCTGCCACGTGACATCGAACTGTAGATGAGGAAAACTATTTGTTGCAAAAACGAAGGAAGGAAAATATTCTCTTATCACTTTCAATGTGAGAATGCTTATCATCGGTATTTGCGAATTTTCCGGAATAGACGATGGTCGTCTGATGGCCTTTATAAAGATTTTATAATAACGATTCTACATGAGTAAAATATATACATATATATTACTCGTGCTGAAGCATAATGCCCTAGGGGCATAATAAAATTACGGATTTTTTAATCCTTGAAAACTATTTAAAATACCCAGGGTCCTTGAATAAATATTTAAAAAATTCAGGGTTTTTATAGGCCCTTGAAAATTATTAAAAAAAAAGTCAAGGGTCCGCTACAAAAAATAGGCAATTATCTTGGGACCAAAGACGGAAATTGGCCAGCATGAGGCGGAGAAACAAGAGCGATCAGAAAACAGATTTTATGAAGGATAAACCTGATCTTCGCTTCACTTCCTCGGAAGTAGGGACATGATTATTACATCTCCGGAAGAGCAGTCGTACGCAAAACCTGCAAAAAAAGAGGGCTGATATATGGCGGAGGCAACCTAAATATAAAGGAGACTTTCACGGAAATCTGTCCACTGAGAGAGCGTCGAAGCTGGCTTTCATATCAAGAAGACAAACGCTACATCTGAATCTAACGGAAATTTCAAATGAGGAAGAGGGTAGCAACAATAGATAAATAGTTCTGATATGCAGTGATCGACGAGAATAATGGGTCCCGCAAATAAAGAAAGAAGAAGTGATGAATCGCGAGTATCCATGGACTGAGAGGACGGCGAAGCTGGCCTTAAGAATATCGGAATTTCAAAGAAGGACTAACCGAATTTTACCAAATGGAAAAAGGGTAGTAAAAATAGATAAGAAGTTCAGCTAAGCTGTGATCGACGAAAAAATATTTTTAATAAATCCACGCCTCTTGGTGACCCTTGAAAAAATATTTTTAAAAATTTCGCGCTTTAAAAAATATTTTTAAGAATTTTTTTTCCATGAAGTATTTATTTCTGTAAGAAAAAAATCACCACATTATCTCGCTTTTCGGTTTTTAATTATTTTATCCTTGACGTTAAACAATTTTTATGGCAAACCTCTCCAAACCAAGCAAATCGGTTAACATTTGTAATGACAATTTTTACTACCCTGACAAATGGAGGCACTTAACATTGCCTTTTAGGCCATGCGTCTCTTTCTTGGTTGGCTATTTAATTGCCAGCCATGGAACCACTTAACTTTTGGTATTTTTCCAAGCCACGGTTACCATTGTGAATTATTCTGGTCTATGAACTTGTCGGCGGTAGAGGTGGAGACAGACAAACTTCGACTTGGCTTCCATGGATGGATGGTGGAGAAGTTTAGATTGGCAATGCACAGGTTTTTTGCAGTCACCACCAACAACACCGACCAGCATCCGACATAGAATTTAACCGGTTTTGCATAGTTTGTCAGTTGGTTGGTCGGAGGGTAGGTCGTTCGGTGCATGAGTTTGGTTTTATTTTTTTGTTTTTGACCGTATTTCGATGAAGAAGAAGTTTTAGAACCGGTTAATGCTGGTTGCAACATGTTTATTTTTGTTGTGAATTCACCAGACAATTTTTAAATTAGATACTGAAAAAAAATTAGAATATTTGTTTTTGGTGGGAATTCATTTTAATGACTGGTAAACATCGTTAAATCTTACGACGAATGCAAAAATTTTGGCATACTTCTTTGAATTCTAACACAATGATTTCAAAATCTTCCAGCAATTTGCATAGAAATACATTTTTAAAAATCAAATTTATTTATGAAATCGGAAATATCAATGTGAATATATGGGAAATTACAAAAATCTTTTAAATTCCTTGAAGCTGAGGTTTGCAAGGTTATAACTCGCGAAATATGAACATATTGCATATAATTTAAATTCAATTCTATAAAATGAAGTGTTCTTGTCAAAATCTTGAAATATTGGTAATAAATAATAAGTTGCGTGGAAGCTGTGATGGTGGTAATGTAAAAAAATGGGTGAAAATGTGTTGAAGCCAACGAGTTTTTTTGTGTTCGTTCCCGATTTGTGGCTAAACTACACAATGCACACACATGTGATCAGTGACTAAGTTGCAGAATACCCCATGGGCAATATGGTTCTAATGTATAATTTTTCGATATAATCACTGCATCCACCAAAAATGGATGCTGACATTTTGAAGCCGGATTTTCGGTGTTTTTTGAATTTTTCTTATAATTAGGATGCGCATCCAGATAATAGAATATACTAATTATAGAATCGTAGAACTCGTGATTCTGCTTCGTTTAGTGTATATCTCATGAATGTGCTCACTGTAGCTTCTTTGCAATTGGGTTCCAAAGACGAAAATTTAGTGCGTAAATTTTTATAAAAAACATATTTTTTGAGTCTAAAATTAAGAAAGTCCATTCAAATTCCGTGGAACCCCGCGTGATTTTAGTTTTTTTACGTGCCGGATCAAATGAGCCTATCCATGTTGAATTCCGTCCAATAAAACGGCGGATATAGGTACCTTGAATGTGGGAAAAACTGCAAAAACTTATTTTGACAAATTCGCGTAAATAATCGCGGTTTTCTTCGAATTAACTTTACATGCATTTATGCTTGTATTGTCAAATTCGCGAATCTGTGTGGAAATAGGTCAAAACTACATCGATACGCGAAAAATATGCGTATTTTATCCAAAATTGATTGTGGAGGCACATCCGCGGTTCTTAACCGATCCTTTTAAAATAGGTGTCCTTTTGCGTATTTTCATAGGAGATTACTAAAATCGGATGCGCATAAAAATCGTATGCACGTTGCGTGATTTTTAGCCATTTTTAGGGTTTTTGCATAGTAAAGTGCATCGAGTGGCACACTTTGACCGCTGAATTAAACATCGAAAAATTAATAATTATTGAAAGACATTGATTCGGTTTATACGAAAATCGCATGCGCATCAACTGATTTCAACTAATTCGCGAATTGCAAGCTTTTCAATATTAATCATTTTTATGTATTGTAAGTGTAATATATTTAGCCAATAATGACGTCGAAACTCTTATCAGATGAATCTGCCGATATTTAACAATCATCTAAAAGAATTTGCAGAAGAAAGCGTCGTATATTTTAGAAGATTAAGGAAAAACCGTATCCTCTTAACCATTCTAAAAAAATCGAAAATTCAAAAAAAATTTGTTTTAATTCAAAAATTAATTTATTTTATTTTCCGATATCTTTATGTTTCTATTTGTTTTTCGCGACTATTAAACCGTATTTCAGTGTGATTTGACTAGTATGCAAAGAAAACAATGGTGTTTAAGCATTTGTGAAGAAATTCGCGAATTACAACGAATAGGAATTCATGTAATTTATATTTGAAATAAAAGATTTAAAACCGCTATAACTTTTGTGCGCAGCATCCGAATTTGTGAACGCTAACAGATTTCGAATCAGCATATTTTTCTTAACATATGTACTAAAAATCATAAATGTGCTCGCAAAAAAATTTTTCAAAATTTTTTTAATGGAATTTTAAAAGAATTTTGTAATTTCCCATATGAATGCATACTAATTGTTTAAAAACATTTCTTCAAGGGTCACCAACTGGCGTGGATTTTCATACCCTTCACCACACTGTGGTACAGGTTATTATGTCTTTGTGCATATGTATGTAACAGGCAAAATAATCGAGATAGACCCATTGTTCCTTTTGAGAGAATCACTTTCTGAGTCGATTTATGCATGTCCGCACGTCTGTCCATGTTAAATTGTAAACAAAGTACAGGTCGCATTAATGATTCGAATTGTATGAAATTTGGCACAGCTAATTTGATTGGCCCAAGGACGAACCCTATTGAAATTGGGAAAAATAGGTTCAGATTTAGATATAGCTCCCATATATATTTTCGTCCGATTTAAGGTAAATGGCGTACCAAAGTCCCTATATATATTTGGATTTGCATGCAATTTGGCATAGAGTTCTGATTTAGGTCCAGGATGATGTGTGCTATGTTTCGTGAAAATCGGTTCAGATTTAGATATAGCTCCCATATATAGTTGTGTCCGATTTTATGTAAAATGTGCAAGAAAGTTCCTATATATCTTTCGATTTGCACGAAATTTGGCACAGCGTAATGAATTAAGGCTAGA